AATGACCGAAGAATAATAAATTTAAAAAAGATAAAAGTAAATTAATAAATAAATAAGAATATTGATGATTAAGAATTAATGTTGAATTCACAACTTAATCAAATGCATGATTTAATACGAAATTTTTCTTAGAGGGTCCCCCCCCCCAAAAAAAAAATCCACTTACCGGTACTGTTCATGGAGATGCACGTAATAGAATTAAAAAAAGTCTGCCTAAGCGACGAAATATTTGTACTCTCCCTTCCCCCTGAATGAGATGCTATGCTAGTCCATCACATGGTTACTCCCCGTTTTAAATTCGCCTCCACCCATTTACACACCCGTAGGATGTCTAGGGCGCCATAGCGCCATGACCAGTAGGCCGCCACGCTTTTCCAACCGGAACCATTGCAGAAGATTAAAAAATGCAATATTTCCAATTAGTTTAATAGTTCAATTATAAAAAGCTCCGAACTATTACAAATTAATACTCTACCTTAAATAATTATTAACCACACATTGGGAGCTATCAAAGTAGCTACCATTAAGACCAGCTGTCTACAGTTAAAATTGAGAGATCGTCAGTTACTCGACGCCTTTTCGCGTTTATTCTATATACCTTGAGTATATACCTTTCAATATAAACCTTGTACAGATGGATTCTTCTGAACAAGGTTTATATTCAAATGTATATATTCAAGGTATTTGTAATAAACGCGAAAAGGTGTCGAGTAACTGACAATCTCTCAATCACTATAGAAGGCTGTTCTTGACAGCTCCCAATGTGTGGTTAACAATTATTTAAGGTAGAGTTTTAATTTGAAAGAGTTCGGAGCTTTTTACGATTGAACTACTAAACTAATTAGAAATATTGCATTTGTTTAATCTTCTGCAATGGTTCCGGCTGGAAAAGCGTGGCGGCCTAATGATCATGGCACCCTAGACATCCTACAGGTGTGTAAATGAGTGGAGGCGAATTCAAAACGGGGAGAAACCATGTGATGGATTAGCATCCCATCCAGGGGGAAGGGACAGTACAAATATTTCGTCGCTTAGGCTGTATGGGCTACTGGCCTGACGCAGACTTTTTTTTAATTCTAATACGTGCATCTCATGAACAGTGCTGGTAAGTGATTACTTTTTGGGACCCTCAGAGAAAAATCTCGTATCAAATGGTCTAATTAAGTTGTGAATTTACCGTCAATTTTTAATCATCAATATTCTTATTTATTTATTACTTTACTTTTATTTTTTTAAAAATTATTATTTTTCGGTCATTCCGGGAATTCCGGTTCCGGTTCCGAATTCCAGCATTCCTTATTTTCCAAACTACCTTTCAGAAACACCGTGCCGTCTTGAATATCTCAAATTTCAAGCAGCGAGACAATCACACTGATCTCCCTAAGAGTGATACGCGTCTGTTTACCCAAGACTATCTTGACTTGACTTGAATTAAAAATTAGAGGGAAAGTTATGTCTAGAAAATTTTTTCTCGATTAGAAGAACTTGTCCTCAGAATTTTGAAAATAACCGTCATTTTGTCGAGTTTGCCTTGCAACTGTGACACTCGCGCTTTGAAGTTGCCCTTGTTAAAAAACTTTCGCAGCTAGAAGCACGCCATCTTGGATATGAAGTCAGCTATTAGAGGGTCGTATGGGGCGGGGGATGTAGTTTTGACGACTGACGGCTAATTCTATTCGATTTTGAAGGTTGACGGTCTTGAAGGATCTTTAATGACTGACGGTTAAACCCCATGATGGAGACCTTCTTATGTAAATTAACTTTAACCTTCATAAAGTTTCTTTCTCTCTGTTTTTCTCATCACAATACTGCCCGTACTAAGACAGAGTCACAGTGGAGACAAAGCAAGCCCAACTGACGGCAGAGATCGTCAGAAACCAGAACGGACACACCAGAAGTATGTCAGTTTTATTAATCTTACGTGTACAGTGTTCATATTTCGCGCGGAGTGTTTTTAATCGCGCGGAATGTTTAGTGTTGATCGAACTGATCGACCACATTTCATTCCCCATACTATTCCTTAGAACGCATTCAAACACAGGCAGCCCAAGCTCCACCTGTGAGATGATCATGATCTTCTAGCTAGCGTAATAAGAGTCATGGCAAAAATATAAATGCAGGTCATACAGTAAAGAATTTGTATGGGAATATTTACGACCGCTCTTAGGAAGTAAAAATACTGTCAAATTCTTGATATAAATACCTCGCGAGCATCGCTTGTTGTCTGATCGCTTACTTTGTTCAAACGAGCCCATTTTAGCTAGTTATCCATTTCTAGGTTTCCTCGGAGTAGGATTACAGACTTAAATCAATAAATTCAGTATTGCAAAGGTCCGAAATCCTTTAAATTAATTTATTTGTCATTAATTTTTTTTTCCATCATGGCTCCTGCTATTGTCGGTGTCTATCATCAACCTCTGTTGCCCGGAGCAACCGTCAGATTGAATAGACATTACGTCGTTCGTACCCTTCTGTTCATATAGTTAAAAAGTTTTTGAATAAATCGCTGTTTACATTTCTCAGACGATCTGTGGCCTTTTCAGGCCAGGCCATCCGAAACAGGCGCTCGTTTAGGCTCGTGGCATATCATTTTCTCTCCCGCGATCGTTTATGTGCGAGGAATGCTATGTTTATACAGGAAAAAAGCCCTCAACAGGAAGAAAAGTAAAGGTTTAGAGGAGGTTTCAATCGCTCTTTCTTGCCGTGTGCGCCCTCAGCTCTTGATAAAAAGGACTTTTCTAGGATATATTTAATTTCAGTTCATGAAGAGAGACCGAGTAATACGTAGATTTAATGAACTACGCCAAAATCTATCCTGTCACCTTACTTGTCATCAAAGTCCGCCAGCTTTCCGCGTGTCTGAACAAGTGAAAAATCTCCATGGAGACATGCATGGATCCACTTCCTGTCGAAAACATTGCTGAATCGGCATTAGGAGATTTGACTCAGATGAGAAAGTAAAAATTTGTTTTCCTTATTAATATAAAAGGTCTAAGTCTTCGATTTTTAATTAGTTGTGTTGACTGACGCCTTTGTGAGGGAAATAGATCTAGAGGTACTTGAAATCATCAGGAAACAGGAAGTATCTTCCTCCACGTCTTGGTTTTTCCTCATTTGGTTTACTTTACTCGCATTATAACTCACGGCAAAGGGAAATCCCCTTCAGAAGTAATATTAGGAGATTGGTTCGAGCACAAATAAAAAGGAGGGTCGCATGTACAGTGTACACATAATTACTCTTCAAAACCAGTCACTAAATCATTTGCTTGTTGCAGAGTGAGCGCGAAGGTTTATACCAAGCCACAATTTTCAAGGCTCTATACAAGGCAGGATAACAAGGTACGATAAGATAAAGTAAAAAAACGCAATAGCGCACTATAATATATTCGGAATTATTTATATTGTTTGTGTGCGAGGAATACTATTTTCGTACAGGGAAAAAACCTTCAGGCTCAGGCATTAGGAAGTAGAAAAGTAGCGTACGTTTAGAGGAAAATTTTCATCGCTCTCACTTGCCGTGCTTCAAAGTGACGCAGACAAATTAATCAGATTCAGTATTCTTGCCAAGCTATTTCCAGTTAAAGGCGTAACAATTCAAATATTACCTGATGTTATGGTCGCTGTTTTGAAAGACAATGGCTTTTTTCGCCTCGCAATAATTTCTATCGTGTGTCGCGAGCGCCGTTCGATTTCAGATGGGGTCAGGAGAAAGTAATGGCTCATTATAGGCGATGACAATTAACCGCCTGATGGAAGGATTTGATCTAGATTCCTCCCCATGCATATGGTTATCCAAAAACCAGAGACTTTGCACGCAGCCAAACGCATTATGCTGTCTTCCTCCCTGCATACAACTGTAAATATTGTATCCGAAGCAACAGATTTAGAAATATGGGCAAGTGCACTCTTACAACCAACTTTGTGTATATAGTCATTTACTAATCAAACTGGCCATGTGAATATTAACAAATCCAATGAAATAAACTTTCGAAAAATTCAACCCGACCCCCCTCAGCCGCGAATTAGCCCTCTATTTGTATCAGTCTAGTAACCGACGCTTACGCAGCTTTCTGTGCGCGCCAGAATCTAATCTTCCCTTTGTAGTGAAGTCTTTCGCAATATTCAGTAACAAGGTTGCAGAAAACGTTAAGGTCGTGGACGACCTCAAGCAAGCGCTCGGAAAAAGCTTAGCTGCGTTTCCGGTTAGCAGATTAAAATCATCGTGGGAAGGAGAGATGTTTTCGGACAGTTACCGACAGGGTTTGGAAAGGGTTTGTTTTGTTGCAAATGTCAGCTTAGTTCAGGGTCATCTACCCACATCTAATAAACAAAATTTAAAGTTTCCACGCTTAGCTTGTCTTTTTTTTCAACATAGGTTTTATTGCATCTGTGCATACCTTGACAAATGTTCTTTCAGTAGAAACTGGGAAACAGCAACAATTTGATTTTCTTCTTTGGGTACTCTGCCCACGGGAAATTTTTACCGATGCCTCTTTGTTGGTATCTTACACCCGTTTGGTTGTCCTCTTGACTCGATGTTAGTGGAGAAAGGGGATACATCCTCTTCAGAGATGCTACAAATGAAAAAATCGGACGTTTTGAGCAGTGACCACCGTTGAATTTTCCGTGGGTTTGAGTCAAGGTTTATGTCGGTCAGATGTAAATAGCAGCGTTAAGACTGGTCGATATCTCATTAATTTGAATTATTCTCTTTCGAAATGGCCTTTAGACATTTACGAGCCAGAAAACCAGTTTAGATATCAGTTCTTCAATGAGGAAACGACTGCTTTCATTTTTGTAAAGGTTTTTTAGTGCCACTTTTCGAACAGAAGAGGAAATGCCTCCAAATAAATTTGGCATTGTCAAGCAATGAATTCTTGTGTCCAAAGTACAAGAGAGTTTTCGGTTGCCAGGCAGTGTGAAGTCAACACCGTGTCCCTACTCACTGTTTCACGCATGCGAAGACATGTTATCCCTACCTCGTGGCCAGATCATCAATGGTCGTGAAGACCTCCGTAGCTTCAAAATCTCGATATAAATCTTGAGCTTGCGAGAGGAAGCTGTTTATAAGGTATTCATGGCCAATGTTTTTGTTGTTGTTTTTTCCTGTATGTTTCGGGGTAGTTTGGTACAATGACGGTTCAAGGTTACCAGCATGAATTTTACCGTCGCTGTTTAGACGACAACGTCGCTTTTCATTTACTGAACAAGAAAATTTATGATTTACGAGTGTTGTCAGTTAAAATGTAAACGGAACTTTAAAAAAAACTGCTTGGCTGAACAGCTTTTAAGTAAAAATATAATCCGTTCAGTGAACCCATCCGCAACCACTCATTTTGGTTATGATACACTGCTGATGTTTTCATATTCGCTCAATGCTGTGGCTGGTTGCTAATTTTTTGCGATTTATGATATCTTCACAACTCAGTATTAGATTGCAATGACAACTGTAAATAAAGCGCAGCTATCAGGCTGATATGAAAATTATCTTAATCTTTAAAGTGAATTCCCATTTAGTCGAGATCCATTGTTCCGCTTTGCCAACTGATAGTTTTATTCTTAATCTTCTAGAATTTAGTGAAATAATTCGTTAGGTTGTATATTTATGTCTTTACTGAGTTCTTATGCTTTTTACGACGAGGTCACGACCGTCAAACAAAACGCTTACTTAGCATTATTTTTAGGTTTTTTCAATTGTTTCATTTTATGACCGCTCAAGTTTTTTTAAGGAAACCTTCTACACTCAATAAGGTCGAATCTTAAGATTGCTTCACTTATTTCATTCAAGATTTTATCACATAAGAAGACATTTCGTTTTTGTGAGATCACGTGACCGAGCACGCACGCAAACAAAAAAAATGATAAAAACAGGAAGATAAGATATAATTAGCTTCTTTGATATTCACCGAGCACCTTGTCAAACTGATAATTTGCGGTTTCAAAAGGCAATAGAAACATTCGTTAAAAGTTCGTACTTTGAATGATCTACTATAAGTATAATGCTCATTTTCTGCTTTGCGCTCGATGAGAGACAGTTTTTACAATGATCAGAACTTGAAATTTATCAGGTTTTTTTTTTCAGAAACTTAACATGTCGCAATAAACTACGCTTAACAAATTTCCGAACGATCACGTGACGGTCAAGTTCGTGGGGGGAAAATGTCGGGACTTCGATAATCGATCACTTAATTGAAGTTCGACCAAACTGATTATTCAAATTTCTGTATGGACGATCCCGATCCGACCGTCTATTTCCAGGTTGTTTCAACGCTAGACATTTTTGTGTTAGCATTTTAGTGCTACATTTCGAACAGAGAAAATGTCTCCAAAACTTTTGAAATTGGTCAAACAATGAATTCTGCATGTGTCCAAAGTACACCAGGAAATCGCTCAATGCCATTACAAACAACAAAGAATTGCTCAATGCCATTAACATGACTACGTGATAAATGACCACATGACCGTCTAATCCATATTCACAGTGACGTAAGCCGAGCAGGTCATTCTATCATTTCTTTACCCGCGTGGCAGATCAACAGTCGGAGCTAGTCGGGAAGACTACATTATATACCTTGACACACTCGGCAATAAATCCTGAGCTTGCAAGTGGAGGCTGTTTATAAGGTATTCATGTTTTAGTTGTTTTTTTTTTCCTGTAGGTATCGGGATAGTTTGGTACAATGACGGTGTAAGGTTGCCAGCATGAATTTTACCGCCTCTATAGACGACAGTGTCATTTACTGAATACGAGAATTTATGATTTCCGAACGTTATCATCCAGATTTGAACGTAAACGAAACTTTAAAAATCCGTTCAGTCAACCCATCCGCAACCTCTAATGTTGGCTAAATGATGATTCACTGTTTTAAGCGGATATTTTCATATTTTACACAATGCTGTGGCTGGTTCCTAATTTTTGCTAAATTTCCTTTTTATGATATCTTTACAGCTCAATACTAGATTACAATGACAACTGTAAATAAACACAGCTGTCAGGCTGATATGAAAATTATTTTAATCTCTGAAGTGAATTCCCGTTTAGGCGAGATCCACTGTTCTACTTTGCCGATAGTTTTAATTCTAATCTTCTAGGATTTAGCGAAATGATTCGTTAGTTGTTCATTTATGTACCTAGTTCTTTTGCTTTGAAGAAGACCAAGGTGACAACCGCTTGACCGTGAACGCTTACTAAGCAATATTTTTAGCTTGTTTCAGTTGCTCTATTTCATGACCACTCATGAAACCCTCTACAATGAAACCCTCTACACTCGATGAGGTCCAATCTTAAGGATGCTCACTTAATTCATTCACACGTAAGGAGAGATTTCGTTTAGACTTTTGTGAGATCACGTGACTGAGCAAACACACAGACACAACAGGAAAGTGAGACACAATTAGCTTCATTTTGCGGTTTTAAATGTCGATTGACACATCCGTTAAAATTTCGTACGTTGAACACTCTACCAAAGGCACGATGTTCATTTTCTGCTTTACGCTCGATGAGTGACAGTCCTTAACAATGATCAGAACTTGAAATTGATCGGTTTTTCTTTTTCAGAAATTTCAAAATTTGTGACAATAAACCACGCACAACAATTATCCGAACGATCACGTGACGGTCAAGTTCGGATAACGTTTCACAAATGAAGGATTTCGCCCATTTCTGATCGATTTATCTGAATCTTATACCCTGAAATATGTCATGATTCTTCCTTCTATAGAAAAAATAGTAAAAGAATGAACAGAAGAACATGTGTGATTGTGTTAAGAGTACATCTGGACAATACCTGCCCATGGCAGACACGAATCAATATTACTCGATTAATAACTGCGTAATTTACATAATTAACCGTCTACTGTGCCACTGCTGACTTATCTATAGAAGTCACTGTAAATATTTGCACTAAAATTTCAATGGCGTCTAAAATCTGGCATTGATAATTTGTTTGTCTAATCTGACTTCAACAACCCACTTAAGGGGAAATTTGAAATACTGCTTCAGACAAGTGTACGAGGTGTAACTTAAATTATTTCACTCCGTATTTCGCTGAAGCTCGCTTGGGTCATCAGTCAATACGGACAGGCTTGTAACTGGGTCCTTGGCATACCGCAAGGATAAAATTTACATATCACAAACGAGAAGCGCTTAACATCATGACTATTGTTTTGGAGGATTCAGTTGTATATTAGGTTTACTGAAATAAATCTGTGAAAATTCCAAAATGGTGAAATAATTTCAGCTTGGATAAGGAGGAAAAACTAAGCCTGAGAAAATATAAATGAATAAAGGCTGATAGTTTCGAAAGAAACTGTTTGGGGCTGCGTCGGTGGGAGTAACGAAATAATTTGGATATATCAACAAAATTGAAAAGGTAAATTGGCCACCGTAACGATTACAAAAGCTGACGTTTCGAGCGTTAGCCCTTCGTCGGAGCGAATCTGCTCCGACGAAGCGACGATTCGTCGTAGCGAATCATTCGCTCCGACGAAGGGCTAACGCTCGAAACGTCAGCTTTTGTAATCGTTACGGTGGCCAATTTACCATTTCAACTTTGTTGATATATCCAAATTATACTGAGAATTATAATTTTAAAAGAGATGCGCGAAGTTATTTTTATCGAGTAATCTCTGAGACCGACGCTTAACGTAGTCTTTGACGATTAGACACATGACCCTTCGAGCTTGATCCTTTATAAGGTTATCGTAGAGCGATTATTGTGATGATGATGATACTTGTTTATGTCGAAATTCTTTCTTTTCGATCTGGTCCAATAAATCAAACAGGCAATCCAACTAGCTTACGCAAATCGTATAATTTATTCCAGTATATTATTATTCGATCTAGAGAATAGAATGAAATACATTTGAGAAACTGATAAGGGTCTATCGATACATAAACACACGAGTCAAACTATTAGCTAGAATTACAGCACTGATAACCTACTTCTTTGGCGATATCTAGTAGGATTGTTTCACGGTATACAGGTCAGCAACAGATATAACAGATCAGGGTATAACAGAATACGGGTTAGCACGACAGGTCAGAAAAACATGAAGTTAACTTCGAATCTAAAACATCTGAACTGAAAGCAGACTTATTCATGTGGCTTAATTGCATAACTTAGTGTCAATCAAAGTCAATCAGGAAATCAAGTTAATAATTCATTGTATTGACGAAACACGATCCAAAAGCGAAACAAGAGAATTGAGCCAGCGAACACGATATTGAATCATACATATTTGCCTGTCATACGGAGGGACCCTGGCTCAGCTCAGCTTTCGTCCTTTGTAGATCGGTAGTTGAGCATCGAAGCGCAAAACCAAAAGGTTAGATGGGCGAGTTCAAAGGTTTTCTTTGTCTAGCGTTCAGATTACAATTTTTTCAAGGGACCAGTGATAATCTTTCGCCTAGACGGGCTGAAGGTTTTTTTTTTTTTTTTTTTTGGGGGGGGGGGGGAAGATGACGGGGTTTTAAGGGGGACGAAGGGGAGATCAATCGTTTCCAAAAGAGTATAAAGGGGAGATTATAGAAAATTGGCTGACCAGTCCCCAACCACCCATCACATTATGATCCTGGATCAGAGCTAAAGGTGAATAAAATCAGTCATAGGAGCTACAGTCACACAACATTTTTGACATTTGACAATTTTATCGATGAATGGCTTAACGAATATCACACAAAAATGATTATGCTTAGGCCAAAGGCGAAACAAGAACCGGTTTCCATGGTTATCCTGATCAACAGATCTAGGAAAGTTCATCCGCTGGTCAGCGCCGGGTAGAACGCGTTACATTGACCTCTCGCCCAGACCATCGCCGTTACGTTCATATGAGTACGAGCTCAAACTTTGTATCCATGGTGTCCAGTAGAGTGGATCAATACAGTATGCATGTCTGGCTAAAACATATGGTTGTCTGAATATATTGCGATGAAAACGCAGATCCCGTCGCAGAAAAAGTGTTTTACGATTAAAAATTGAGCAAGGGCTTTTTCAGCTCAGTGTTTCAGTATCGTGCTCCACTGGTAAAGAAAAATATTACGGTAATTTATAGAAGCTCCCATACTTCACATTGAGACAGTAGCGCGTGACATACCAAAAGAAAATAACAGAATAGAGAGATAGACTATCCATAAATAACTTGAGTGAAATTGACATTCAAAGGCCTGGACCAGAAGCTTCCCTATCTGTCCTTCTTGGACATAACCATCGCCAAAATCTCAATCCTTTCAAATAATATTCGGCACAAATATGTATAGCGTATTCTACTTAGCAAACATCATTTTGTATCCATTTCCGAAGTTGGAAGGCTGTGGACGGGCGCTTTCCGTCTTCTAAAATACAATCATTGTGTTTTCAATACCATTTGAAAGAATAAGCTGTAATGACATAGCTTCGGATAACTAGATTCTTTTTCATTTTGAGGCTGCAAGTTCTAAATAATAGTAGGTTTACGGCTCGCTTACCATTTGTATGCTACTGCATTTGCATTTTCCGGTTTTATAGGTCAGTCTACCATTGAAATGTTTGACCCGGCGTCTAGCATGTCTGGTGGGCGTAACAGAATGAGTTAATGTCTGGTTTTTCCAGCCCAGAAGAACTTGACTCATCACGTTTATTAAACGCAAAAAAGAAGTGATCATTGGTTCGTCTAGGTTTTCTTACGCACTGTTAACGTCTTCTCTAAATTTATTAGTCTCTCTGCAGCTATATTTTTTATTTCATCTCTGAGAGACATCGCTGAAGAAATAATTTACGAACAACGTCGAACGTGATGGAATGCCGAAGCGTGCAAATCAGTTTTGTATCACCCACTCTAAAAGCAGCAGAAAAGAACTTTGTACGTAATAACATGACTCTCCAGGAGGGCTCCTGCATGTATGCAAAACTGTAAATGAAATCGTTAGCGACGTATATTTCTTCATTCCATTTCCTCGTAAGTACTTTTATCCCTCATTTGTTGAGATCTTTTATGTAACTCTCGTTGGGATATTTCGAAGTTAATTTTGACTCTCGCTACTTATGTACACCGAAAACATGTACGTGCTAAAATGTGTTGGCGTCATACTGATAATTTTGGTTAGTGCCCAAGATTAGGTAACGAGGAAGAAAATATTGCCATGCGGATTGACCGTGACTTAAGAGGGCCCAAAAATAGAACACTGAAGTTCCAGCGGGCATGACCTTGTGGTTAGGAGTGTTCGTGACTTATGCCGTTCGTTGCTCTAGCGACTGTGAGAAATGTGCTTGTACATGTAGAATAACGTTGATCACGTACCAATTCAATAGGTAAAACCCCTTCAGACCTAATACTTCACATGATTGGTCACTGCAGGATAAAATAGGAGCGGCATATATTGTCAACTATTACACTATAAATCACCAAATAATTTTCCTATCGCAGAATTAGCACAAAGCTGTAGACGAAGCCCAGACAATCCGACACTCTGCAAAAAAGGAGAAAAAGGTAGGAAAATACAACAAGATAAAGCAACATTACAATGATCATTGGAATCGCGTAAAGTTTTTTAGTTGATTAGTTGGGGAAACAAGTCTCAAGTAGTGTGGAAACAAGTCTCAGGTAGTCTCAGGTAGCGCCATGAGTTCAAGATATGAGCGCTATATAAATACAAGTTATTATTATTATTATTATTATTATTATCATTATTATTATTATTATTATTATTATTATTATTATTATTATTGTGGATCTTACCTTTGTGGTCACTTCCAAGTCTCAATCTCTTTAACTTCGCGGTTGCATTCTTAGTCTTGCTGTATAATCGTGATATTCAAGATTAAATTCCTCCTTCAACCGATAAACTTTGATAGGTAGGTTTAGTATTGCATGGGTCTGATTTTTTTTTCGTTGTCGCTAAAACCCTGTTGGCCATGTTCTCATACAATGGCTCCTGGCTATTGCAGGTGCCTGTCACCAGCTCCAGTAGCAGGGCACAACCATTTCAACTGACGAAAGGCTTGCGCTCAAAATGTCAGCTTTAGAAACCCTTTGCGGTGTGTGGCCGATTTACATTTCAATTTATCAACTCATTTCATAAAACTAAATTATCCGTTAAATTATACTTAAGAACGTTTCATAGACTTAAAATCGTTCATATCCTGCCGTTTGTTAGTTACAACATTTTTATTTGATTCACTGTAAGTGTTTCCATCGATCTAAAAATACTTTGGAGTGCCTTTTTTAGACTGGTCTGTCACGTAGGCAGAACTTAAGGGTCGTTGCATATTCCTCCTCCAAGATTGTTTGTGTGGGAGGAATACTTTTGTCAGGCGAGAAGAAACACAACCTCATCAGGAAAGAGAAAAATACTAAAAAATTCCCTTGACCACACTTTTTCAGTCATTTGCTATCAGCTACTAGTAACTCGAACCCAAGCTTACTGGAAGTAATTTTTTGTTTCCCTGCGGTATAGGTTATTTCGCCTCATCGAATTCATGTTCCACTTCAGTAGCGCACACTTTAGATATTTTCATGACTCCTGACTCATGGAGCTCCTGCGGCGCGTAAGTCAACATTAGAGCTTCCCGCGGCACGCTAACACCAAGATTTTTTCATTGATTGTTTTTTTGACTCGCGCTTCGGATTCTGCAGAAAAGGAGGGACTGCTCGTAGTCAAGAATTATAGCGACCATTTGCTATAATAAATTTGCAGCGAGCGCTAACATCAAGAAAATAGGATGTAGTTGTAGAAGACACCCAGAGGCCCAATCGAACCACCAAAATTCTGAATAGCCATGGTAATAACTTTAAGACAGCTTGCACCCAAGTTATAGATTTAGTAATAATAAATGAGAATTTATAACTTTTTGTTAATATCTGAATAATTTCCACCACTGAATCGTCATTCATACAGCTTAGGGTCTTGTTTATTATGTAGAGGGAGGTTCCCGTATCGAAATTTTGTTTTGTATTTGAAGAGATAGATCTAAAAGTTTGTCGGGAAATATCCCTAGCTATCCCTAGTCTAAGACCAAGTTTATTTTAGAAAAACTCGTCTCGATCAGTGATAATTCCAGCAGCGTCGACACAACTGTAGTAAGCCTCTTTTGCTTTTGAATTTAGTTTACAACTTTCCTCTACCTGTTCCCACTTTGTATTCTTTTTATTTATTTATTTCATTCAAACGCGGCGCGCGGGATTTTACATTGTTAATGAAAATTGACGTGGACAATTTTATCGCGTATCTTTTTTTCACAATTCCATCAGCTACTAATACGATATTTTTTAACGTTTCAGATTTTGCTCTAATACCGAGGCTTCTACTACTTAAAACGATCCCGTGATGGGGAAAACTGGAATTCTGTTGCTGTTTTCCCTTACAGTGTTTGTTTTCGGTAGGTGTAATTACTATATGTCTGTCAGACCCCTGGGGTGAACCTTTTTGTTTTACCATCGTTTTTCCCATTTCCATAATGCAAGACGTAATGCTCATAAATAGGCAGCCGTCGGGTCATATCTGGGGAAGTCTTCGGGGGATGAACATACGAGCACACAATAATCTCATGAGTACATGAATAAATCAACTCTGCGAAAATCACTCAGGCTATAAGGTGAAGATCGAGGGGAGAGAGCGTTTATTTTTTTCAGGTCAAATGGTTAAAG